TAAAAAAAATTAAACAAAGATGGATATCTATACTTAATACAAGTTGTATTAAGTTGCTTGCGACTTCGTCCTCGTGAAATTAAAATGTAATAAAAAACATGGCCCATGTTACTCACAGATAAATTACCTTTCTAACTGTGAAAGAATTTTTAAAATCGACCGAGTAGTTTTTAAGTTATTTCAAGACATACAAAAATACTAATCTTTCCTCTTTACAATATTACTCGTAGTATACTCGTAGATTGTAAAGGGGAGGTTTGCATGTAAGACAAACTCAAAAGCTATTAAACCTTTTAGGCTTTTTAATCGTAAAAGATTTTTTCCACGCAGGCGAAGACGCAGGCAAAACCTTGTTTAGTATAAAATATTTTCTTTAGATTTTTATTGCTTCACTCTTACAACGAAGTATTTCTTTGACTGTCCTTAAAACTGTGGTTTAAAAAGCTAAAAACAAATAAACATCGTCAAATTTTAGCTTTTTGTTAACATTTGTATTGATACAGAACAACATTATCAGCGGATACTTTTTAACAAACCGCCATATATCAAAGTCCTTGTTATCTAAGCTGTACGCACACTAACGCCCTCTACCGATATCCTATCTTATCGCTCGCATACAAATGAGTTTAAAAGCTCAAATTATCACGTTTCGCTTATTCATAACATACAAACTCATACCAACGCATATTCCATGAACTTCTAAGTAAATAGTCGTATCTTAATATTTTGCTATGTCTACTGATTGATATTGTATGTGTTATATTAATAATGCTGAAAATATAAATACGTACGATATGATAAAGTGTAAATACACACTTCTTCGTGGCGTAAGATTTCAACAATCACAACATATTTTTTAATAATTATATCTTTAATTCCTTAATAAAGAAGACCTACACTTACGACACGCTTTAGGCTACATATTTTCACGCTTTTAAACTTAAGGAGTAAATCAATTGGAAAAAATCCTTCATGTGGGAACGGGACCATAATCTACAAGTTGCCAACATTAAGTAAGCAAGATTATAAAGGTAACGGTAATTTTGACATTTATAATTTCATGCGGATGAAACCGCACAGGAACAACTAGTAGAATAATAATAATAGAACCCACTGACTGAAACTCGTGTGCAATGCCTTGAAAACGTTAATTGTCATAACTCCATTTTAGTAATTTTTTTACAATTTTTTTTTTAAACTATAGGAGGTCTACTTTAATAAAAGCGTTAGCTATAAGTCGGGTAATTAATAAAAATACGGTTTGTTAACTGTAATTGAAGTGTTAATACCGTTATTCCACGACTTCTCCGTTCTTTTACATTTTTCAACATTAAAGATTCTCACACATCGAGTATTTCGAATATAAACTACCATCTCGTATAGAAAGTAATTCGATTTATCATTTTTATTACTTTACAAAATATATTCGTGCTCATATCATACCATTTAAAGAACCAGACGAATTTGACAAGTGAGTAATTCCCATTATCAATAACTATGAACGAAAGCGTATTTACGACGACTACTTTTATCATGTTTCAATATTACCAGGTATACACGTACAGGTATGTATTACTGACCCGGTTTTCCTAAATTCTTTAACAGTTGTTTACACAAATGTGGCGTTACATTATGATAAAGACACGAATTTTGTCAAACGTAAATATTTTTATTTAAAGACGTCGCTATCTGATGATCTAAGCTAGGTCTAGGAGGTACAGCTACATTATTATTTGTCTAAATACTAATATGATATGGAATTATTCGAACTAATACAATTAAATAAACAACAAATAAATACAATTTTACGTAATATTACAAAGAAATTTCAATCATACTCTTTTATACTTAGAAATAAGAGATTACTTTTACAGTATAACTGGCTGTTGCCCGCAACTTCGTCTACGCAATATTAATATAAAATGTAGTCTATAATATGCCCGTCTGTCAGCTACCCTTAGTGAAAGTCCGGTCTAAATCGACCCGTCCGTTTCAAAGATTGCCTGGAACAAACGCGGCTTCCGGATCGACATACAGACAGACCTAAAAAAAACAAATGCGGTTTTCGTTATCAGCAACGCAAATACATCATCTTCCCGAAATCTAATTTTTTTCTTTTAATATTACAGACACTCCAATTTTATTATATGTATAGATGATAATTATGACTGTTGTTTTATAATTATAATCGTTATTATATAAATTTTAATAGTTGTATTATTCCAGTAGAATGCAAGGCGATGCGGGGACGCCTCGACCGCGTTTATCGCGCCTTATCAATGCAGTTATGTTCATGATTTACTTTCATATTGTTTATTGCCCAAGTCAAGGGTCATGAGGTCGGTGATATCATGACAAATATAATATTTACTCCACAAGAAAACAATAAAATACGTATGAATTTATTAGAAACTCCCGATATGGTGTTAGCTACTCTTATAACAGATCACAATAATTTTTAATCTATTCTCGACGTATTACGTAAGTTTTTATAGAACGAATTCTAATACGTAAAAAGTAAACTGCGAAATAAAACTTAGTTTCTCATTAAAACAAAAGGTCGAATTAGTCGAAAATGCGTCATATGTAACTATAGTTGTATAGCCGCATTATTTAATCAACTGCTATTTCTATAAATATTGAAGAATTACATTAATGAAGTGGGAAAAACGACGCATCTCTATAACTACTATTTTAATTATTACTTAACATTGTAACCGTTACCCTCTATAGAATAATAGTAATGAATTATTGATATGTAAAATTATATTTATACCATATGAAACCGCAACCATTAAAAAATTTTCATAATACTAAGGGCCTGTTCTACCAAATTGTTAATTGTCTGATAACAAACTAATGTTGAAATGTCGGATTTGGTTCACTTATCTGACTGTGACGTCTTTTTTAAGCTATCTGAGTGTCTATCAGCCAGTGATCGGACAGGCCCTTAAAGTTTTATATTCATTATTTAAAAGTTTAACCTCTTAATACTACACTATTACTTTAACAAGTCTTTAATCTTCACGATACTTGTAAAATGTTTGTACATGATTATTTTAATGTACTACTTTATAATTTAATTACATGGCTCCTAAAAATTCAACGCAGGTTTGAGCAAAAATGTTTTGCTACGCCACACCTCTAGACACACGTGTAACATACATTAAATTCGTCGCAGTTTAACATTAGAATATTGATAAGACATTAAACTCTACGTCGGCTTATCGTCCCACGCAAGGTACTGGAAGTGATAGAGGTTAGACTTTGGTTTATTCAGTAGCTATGGCGCGAAACCGAAGTCCATAGAACGAAAAACTACCCGAAATGTTTCTTCAGTCTAAGAATCTAACGGACAAATACTAGAACGAATCTTAAATACTGCCTTAGTTTGCGACGCTTTTAATCTATTATATGTTAAATTTTGTAAGGTGTTTAGAGTTTAAGTGTGGTTTTAATTGACGTTTCAGTATTCGTCCCTAAGCATATTGGACTTCTGACTCTCTACGGAACTGAAATTTACTTAACATAACATGTCCTATGTAGTCAGTGATAATGTAGCTTTCTAATGGCAATAGACTTTTTAACTATTCCAGTAGCTTTTGAGATTGTTCGTTATATACTGTTAGGAAAATCAGTACTGGCTTGGAGCATCGGCGCAACACTAGATCCTTGTCATATACGTCCCGTCCCTACGACATCTGTCAATGTCATTCAGACGTATTAGAATAGCGCGCCATTTTGGCGAGAGTTAGTGTAGAAATTTATTACACTGTAACAATTATATTTTTGTATAACAATACCAACATACAAATATTTTTATTACATAGAAGTATCTAATGGCAAGATCATTGTTTTTTGCCGCCAAATTATAGTAAAATTGTATATTAGTTAAACTACTTTCCTTTACTTCACTAACAATTTTCTGCCGAAATAGTAACTATATTTTATACTTCTATGTAAAATTAAGATGGATAATCCTAAAAGCGAATGGATTATGCATTCGCTTTTAGGATTATCATTACATTTTCCAGGATGTCTAAGCGCAGATAGTTTAAATCTTACTGTGCTTAACATATACATCATAATGTCATTGTCGTCTGATTATATTTTATGTTCTGATCTAAGCAAGATGAGGTCACACTAATGTGATATGCAATTGTTTGTTTCTAGAAGCCTTCTTATATCTATACTCGTACAAGTTGTATGAGATTTGTAAATATGTGTCATATGTTATCTACTGTAATTCCGACTGATTAGTTAATTTTGTAGAAAAATGAGGATACGAAGAAGTTCATCGAAAACTGTTCAGCAGTTTAGGCAAACTCTAACACCCATCCATATAAACTTTCGCATTTATAAGTTAAACTAAAAGATTTTAGATATAATCTTTGATTCAATATTCACTGTTTAATAGTAACACAATTCCTTTGCAAAAACGTTATTTAATAGTGACCGAGAAGAAGGGCAATGTTTTTTCTTTGTATGCCTGATCCATTGAAGCGTATAACCTAAAGTCAATGGATTCGTTTTAATCCTTGAAAGGTGAAGATATAATTAGTAAATACTTTTGTTAGCAGTCGACCATTGTTCGAATTTCGACTATAAATCATAATTAAAGATGTTTTTATTAAAAATAGCTTTATGCATGTTATCTCCAAATAGCAACTATCAAGTTGGGTGTACAAAGTTTTCATCATTAACTTGCCCTTATCCCTTACGGAGGGTCGGCAGTATGTGCTGCTCTTCCATACATCTCTATCAGCCGTCATATCTGAATCCACTCCCTTCTTAAGCGCATCCTCTTTCACACAATCCATCTATACTTTCTTCGGACTTTGGGTGTACAACATTTTCCCTTCACAAATTAATATAATTATAAACAATTGATTTCAAATTACAGTGTGGTTATCGACTAATTTCATACCCAGTTCGTGATTTCTAATTAATATAATATGATGTCTCCAGGAGTTTTATTTTTTTTTTTCATATTTTCTTAGGTAATAAAACATGGTGGCGCGAGTGGCAACGGATGAGCGGCCGTTCGAGACGCCGTCCTCAGACGAGAGCGGCCTCGGTAGAAGCGATTCACCCAGCGACGATGTTGAACCAGAAGCAGCTTTGGTAAGAATTCAAACACAATCAAATAACATTTGTATAATAGACTAGCTATTGACCACGATCCCTCCTGATATTAGTTAGTGATTTGGGTAAAAGATGGTGCTGTTTATGAGTGGCCTATTCACTCTAAACTTGAAGAAGACGTGGGGCGTTCTTGGATAGTAGATTAAAGCTTGAACTCAAAAAGCCGGCAACTTCCATTCTTCTTATTTAGGATACAATATTATAGACCAAACGGTTATTATAAGCACTGCAATTTAGCTTCTTGCTTTATTTAGCGAAACGAAATTAGTATATTAGAGGAAATTAAGGAGTAAAAGGTTAGCATGGTATGGGCATGTTATGCGGAGGGATAAATCGCTTTTAACAAGAAGGAGTTTAAATGTGGAGGTACAGCGCTAGATATACTAAAAAAATTAACTATTTCATTTGATTACATTATGATTACTTTTATTTATAATCTATATACAATGCAATGATATCTATATGGTCATCGACATTTGATTTTTAAAAAAATATTAGGTATGACAGTTGTGACATAGATGACAAGACGTGGCCCGTAGATTTCGAATGTGTTCAATAATGTAGTGTTCCGAAATGTATCGAATTCCAGTAAATCGTTACCTCTGCTATGACAGCAGAGAAATTAGTAAACATAGCAATAACAATACTAGCATGCTATCACGTGGCTGTAATTATATTTAAATATATGACAAAAGATTCCAAATCGAAGAAGAATAAAATTCAATTCGAATCAAAATCAATCAAGGATGACCAATCAGTTGGGTTACAAACTAGCGAAATACCAACAAAGTCGGTTAGTGTAGGATCCAGTTGCTCTTGTGGTTGTGAAGAGCAGGAAAACCCGACAGACAATGTTATCATACAAAGTCATCATACAAATATATTCCAATCGGCACACTGAAGCGATTTCAATATAAAGGCAATCACTAGCTATGACAGCGGAAGAAAGGAAATTAAGAAGAAAAAGAGTAGTACGAAGAATAGCAGAAAAAATAATAAACGGATGTCTTGCGGCGACGATATCTTTGACATTTGCAGAAGTTATACTCACTTTTCTCCTACTATTTTTTTAATTTAATAAACAAAAGTTATTTTAACAGAGAACAAGGAATTGTACTTACCAGTTAGATTTTAAACATTTATCTAAATGACGATGAAAATGAGATATTCAAAGTGGCGTGAATTTAAAGACTTCGTTCTGGATTTAATATTTGTCACATGCTTGGGTATTTTGACTTATTGCACATGTTTTTGTTGAGATACCATATTTATATATTTTACTAATATTATTTCATTATACAGGTTTTTGATAGTGTTTTTTACTTTATGAGTTTTGCAAATAAAGATAATAACACATAAACATTTTTCAAATGTTATTTATAGTTACATAAAGGCGTATTAGGAAACACTGTAAGAGAAAATTATGGATGATTTCTTCAAATATAAACCAATTGGTTGTTTTGTGAACAATAAACCCGTGGGTGGTCTAAGTGCGTCATAGAGTTCGAGTTACATCACAATATAACCTCCTTAATAACAAGGTCAAGACAATCAACTGCCTCAACTTAGCTGATCACCTTAGAAACAATTCTATTAATGTGTTTGTATGACCACAATTATGAGCACTTAATCTTAATTGTTAAAAAACACACCCAAAAGTTCTAAGTAATAAGTTTCATAGGTCACCTCAACTCATCAGCGTTGCCAGTCGACGGCCTAAGAGGGCCGGTTCGACGGTTTATTAACTCCCCTTGCTTAATATCAATTTTATTTCAAACAGAATGATTATCAACATGTGGTACAATTTTTAATGATGAACTTACAAGTCGTTATTCAGTTTTTATGTGGGTCTGTGTATTGTAGCCATCTTAGTGTTTTAATTTAATTTTGATGTATGTTTTAAAATTTCCGAGATTCTGCAAATTTTAGGATTTCACAAATTTAGCAAAAAAAAAACAATAATTGTGGTTTTAGAAGTAACATTGTAATATAGATTTAAAAACAATGAGCTTTATACTTTAGTCTATAATACTTTTGTTACTGATCTTAGGAACTCAGAATCATGACATCATCATGCGAATATTTTATTTTTATTATTACAGATTTCGACTTTATACCTGATTATGTTAAAAGTCTACATTATAAAAAATATTGTGCGTATTTTGCTGAGGGATTTCGCAAAACTCCTGTTCACTATGTCATGTAATATTTAAACTAACTTGAACGCATTTAAAACGTATATTTACTTAAACTGTCATTGTCAATGTCAAAAAGCTTATATAATCGGATACAAAAATGTTTTACAAAAAGCGAAATCCATTATTTAAATGCTGTACTGTTAAAATAGAAATGGCAGATTTCATAAAAATGTCTGGGACGAGTAATACTGGTGAAGGTGATGCAAAAACGTCTAAAGTCGAATACTGCGTGAAGTATCATTCTTATCAACACCCACCCTAATCCTTGCTCCCTCTCTTTCGCATATCTCCTTCTCCATATGTAAAATTAGAGTAAGCTTCAAAGTAGCCCGACTGGTAGAGAAGGAAAATAGTAAAAGGTTAGCATAGTATAAGCATGTTATGAGGAGGGATGAATCGCATGTAACAAGGATGTGTGTTAGATATGTGCGTGGAGGTACACCGGTAGTGGTAAACCAAACAAAAGATGGATGGATTGCGTGAAAGGTGACATGATCTAGAAGGAGGTCGTGAATGAGATTATAATAAAGTCATTTGTAGGACGAAAACTCCGTGCGCCGACCCTACGGGAGTAGGTTAAGGTAGGGGAGATGAATCTCTCCTTCTCTATATGGTTAAATAAAGATATATTAAAATTGTACAATGATGTTTTCTTCTGTCAGGTGGTACCGCCAGATGGCGGCTGGGGCTGGGTCGTGGTAGCGGCTTCATTCATGTGCAACGTCATCGTCGACGGCATCATCTTCTGCAACGGAGACATGGTCACGGAAATACAAAAGGAGTTTGGTGTGAGTATCTTATGCTAATCACAAACACTTGTATAACGATTTTTAAATATGTTGCCGGCCCAAGGTCATTGGAGCGCTACAGTGATACAACTTTTAAATTGTGTCGTCGAAAATTCTAGAAGACAGAATTATCAAGGTCGTCCGTTTTAGTGTTATTGCTTTACACGTGTCAAAATATCTAGTGTATTCGGTTGTACATTGTACTCTAAAATTTTTTCCTAATTTTTAACATAATATACAGTAATGAAATGTCGTTACAAACGTAAATTATACTATTCGAAATACACAAATTATTTCATTCGTATACTACATACAAATAGCATATATATTGAAAATTGTTAAATTTCATACACGAATTAGCCGTCAAAAAAGCTTCATTTCCAATTTTATTGAATAAATTACAACTTTATTGCTAAATTATTAAACAATTAAAAAAATCGAATAAACTTCCGCCTGTCTCGTCGTCTCACGCGCATTCTATTTTTAAAATGTTACGATATGAAAACCACACCCTCGCGCGCCTCGTCTAGCATGCGTCATTGCCGTGCCTCCATTTTAAGACCGTAAACATGCCACCAATATGTTGAGGTCTGTGCCCACATATACACAAATACCTACTTTCTGGTTTACGTATGCAACGGAAAGAGACCGGAGGAGATCAATTAAAAATGGCTATTGATTCGCGCGCGTCATTGCGCTCGATGGCGGTTCGATTTTAACTTTTTTAAACAAAAATTTACATCCACAGTCTACACTGCAAATATTTAAAATGATAGGACGCCAAAGTCATAATAGTATTTTAAGATTAAATCCTGATTTATATACCTAGTAAACTAGATTAATTTTTATAATACTATTATTGAACGGGTTTTTGTTACCTGTTTAATTTATAATTTTTTGTTTTTCGTTTTCGTTAAGTAAAACATTTTTGTAGTAATATCCAAGACGCTAAATAAAATTAATAATTAACATCAACTTTTTTTTTCTGATAATAATGTAATTTACATTGACCTCGATTACAAAGGTCACGTCGCCTAGCGTATAAATAAGAATTAAATGTATAATAGCTTCTGATATTATAAAATCATGCCAGGTTTGTTTGCAAAGGATTTTTTATCATCGTTACTTCAAATGGCAGAATATTACTAATGCTTTTGGAGTACTGTTTGCGAAAAAATCAGGATTGTCTGTCGGGCAATGCCCAGCACACTTAGTATAATCTGCTTTCATATTTACTATCACGGTGACGATTGACGCGACAGTCATATTCACGTGCCAAATGTTCAAGGCGGACAAAATGTGGGTCACTGCGAATGTCGATGATTAATTAACGAGTTACTGTAAAGTCATTTACTCTGTCAATCGTTTATACTTGAATTCATTGACTCGCTTTGTGTCGGTCTTTGATCTAAATTTTTTTATTCACAAAAACATTTATCGATAATTTATACATTTCTAAGTCCTTATGGATTGTTGAGATGTTTGCAGTGATAAAATCACTAACGCCATCTAGTTTGAGTCCGATAGCTATTTTGTGTTTCTTAGTTGTCTAAATTTAATTCTGAGCATCAGGTGAACGTCCTTGTTACATCACTAAGTAGGTATTACAAAAACTTGAAAGATCCGGTTTCTTCAAGTAATATGAAATCTTAACTGAAATTACATTTTTTATTAACTTCTAACGTCTAAAATTTACTTAACACTCTTTAATTACTATTGTTAATTGTAAGGGCAAAATTTTAAAAATAACGTTGGTTTCCAATGCACAAACACGAATACCAAAAGTTATAATCTTCCCTCTCTCCCAATTTGAAAAATAAAAAGCCGGAGATAACAAAAGATTTTTTTGTAATGAAACCTACAGTTAATGTAACGTCCAAACTTCATTTCACGATTTAATTTCATTGCCTTCAAGCAATTGTTTCCAAGGTTGGCAGGTGTGTGTTTTCACCTGTTGCTTCATTCTTCAGTTGCACAGACAAAAAATATCAATAATTCATTGATCGAGCAGTTATTTAGGTTCAATTAGTTTATTTTTTATAATTGTAACTAAGTGTGTGTTCGTGGTCTTAATTATTTCACACAATAAAGTTGCACATAGACAAAAAATGTTAAAACTCGATGACTGTTTAAAAAGTAAGGTTATGTTCCGAGAAACATAACCTTTTGTCGAGACAAACAATGATGATGTTAAATCATGAATACAGATGGATACAATACACTATTTGTCACATGTAATAAATGTTTTGTCATTAATATCGACACAAATAAATTATCGTTATCAAGACGAACGCGTTTCGTATTCAAATTTGTATACATTTCGCCACATACCCATTGCCCGCATTGTACCATATCGGATGTACTTGACGTCAGAGTAGCTAGTGATGGTGTGCTCATTACGCAATTAACGCCATTTCGGTTTCACAGTTAATCACGCACGGAATCATATAAAGATAACAATGTACTTTTAACTTTCATCGTAATTGGCGCCAAAGCACACTAGCGCCACGAAACTTTATTTTCTACAGTATAAAGTTATGTCTAATTATACAGCAAACGACTAAACAATACGCGTCATGTTCGCAACAGAAACTCGAAGCTTTCGATCGGTCAGAGTGCATTAACCCTAACCTTGTTTTACGTTATTTTTATAAGTGAAGAAAGATCACATTTAATAGAAAAACCTATGAACAAATATTGTAAAAATTGCGCCTAACTGGGAGAAGTTTATTGAGGCTACAATTGTCTATAAAACACGAGAAAGATTTTTTAACTTGTAGTAATCATATGTTAAATATAGTAACTATAGATTATCTGTGCTATAACCTACAAATTATAAAATGTTTTAACACAATTTATTGTTTAGTAATCTTCATCTGATAAAATAATGTTTTTATGTAACAAGATTTTTCCATTACTTTAGAATGATAATTATTTTTATCTTATTCATATATAGGTAACATATATAACTCAATTTTTTATAACAACTTAATTTGAAATTTATGGTTATTCTTGGCATGAAACTAAATCTTCAGCAAACTAATTACCTAAACAGTTTGATAGTATATTTGATACTACAATTAAAGAATAGTAATCGTCTACTGAGTTAAGATATTATGAATTGTGTATTAAACCTTACAAAGTAGAGACGTAGGGGCATTGTCCGGTATAGACACTTCATTATTGCATTTGCGGTACATAGCGCAACAAAATAAACTTTATATGTTTTTTTTACCGACTTCCCAAAAGAAGGAGGTACTCAATTCGTCTGTATGTTTTTTTTTTGTAATTAGCGTTACCATGGTGGATGTGATAAGACTATAAAATATATTTAAACTCACTTTATTGGCCGGATTTAAATTTGAATTCAAACGTAACGAGAATATTTTAACAAAATCTTTTAAAGATTTAATAAAAAATTTTCGGCGATTGACTAAAATAGACTTGTTCTGTGTATACGCAATCTATTGGAAATTTGCCAAAAATATGCCAACATAGAAATATGCTATAAAGAAATTATCTGAACATTGCAAAATAATTCGACTCAAATCACAAGTGAAGATTCTATTACTTGTTTATTATTATTGTTATTTTATATTATTTTGTAGACAAAAAACTTATTTTGATCAATGAAAAATGGTAACATTAAAATATTCTTTTTCGTTATAAGTCTGGACACAGCGATATAAGCGTTTTAATTGACTACATTTAAAAGGATTAAGTCTGTAAATTACTTTGTGATACATTTAACATTTTAAACCATATAAGATCTGTATACTCCAAGTTTAGAAGAAATGAGTAATAAAACTTACTAAGGCATAACCTGGTCTTCCATAAAATCAATTACCTCGTATTTGTTATGCGAACCGTTAACCGTTAGGCAAACATTCCCCGAGTGACCTAGCGATAAAAAATAAAGTGACCACAGGCCGATAAGGACTGACTAGATACGACAAAGTTTTTTTTACTGCTGCTGTAATCGGACAAATTCATTTGTATAATACATAACAATTTAGCTTTACAATACACGTTTATATTTACAAGCTATCGCTCGCAAACTACGTTAGCCCGAAATTTAAAAAGAAGTCCCGTCAAATTAGGTCCAACCTCTCCAGAGATAGTGACCGGTCGCCATTTTGATCAATGGAGTCATTTAAAGTTATAAGAATGAAAATATAATAAGTCACTAGTTATAAATACTGTTTAATAATTTTGTTCAAACCACAAATGTTATATTTGTCTCCTTCCTGTACCACTGGAAATATAACATTACAATACCAATTTTTAATTAACCTTATGTAAATAATTTCCTGTTATTAACAAAAGTTGTTCAATGTTCGATTTTATTGCAAGTTGTTTAAGTTGCTTTTTCTTCAACAGGTGAGCGAAGGTGCAGTAGCGCCAGTAAGTTCCATATTGACTGGATTTTATCTTCTGTCCGGACCATTCGTATCGGCCCTCGCTAACAAGTAAGTTTGGTTAACCTACATTTGTTTAAGTTCTCAATTGGTTTTAGAATACATTGTTACGCTTAGCTTAATTTCTACAATCTCATTAATCAATGTTAAGAAGCTTATTTCAAATTCTCGCATGCTATTAAAAAAGTTTCCAGAAAAATTTACTTAATTTTATTTTTTCTATTCCAGATATGGGTTCAGGATTGTGACAATTGTGGGTAGTTTGATATCCTTCGTTGCTTTTACCCTGTCCTACTTCGCAACGAGCGTCGAATATCTTTATCTAGTCTACGGTCTTTTAGGAGGTATGTGTTTATTTCCTCATTGTCAATAGAATACGAACAGATAAACTAGACGGAACAGTTTCGTCGGGACTAGATGCGGTACGCGTCATATTCGTAATATTTACGTTACCCAATGAGTACTTTTCATTTTAAATTGCAATGTGCTTGTGAACGACCTAGCTGTAAAACTGCAGTTTTAAACAAAAATCTTTTTACACTCGGAGACTCAGATCTAAATATCTTTTAAAATTCTCATTTACGTTGGAAAATATAACATGGCGGTCATTCATTCTTGTAACGTAATGTGATGCATGTTTATAATCCTCCAGGTATCGGTTTCTGCATGATCTACATGCCGGCGGTGTTGACTGTCGGATTCTACTTCGAGAGATGGCGCGCGCTGGCCACCGGCCTGTCTCTCTGCGGCTCCGGAGTTGGAACATTCATCTTCGCTCCTCTCACTCACAAGGTCATCGAAAATTACGGCTGGAGATGGACCATGGTTATACATGCTGGTCAGTATTTCTTGTTTACATAACCATGACACAACTTAGCACATCTCTGTCGCCTTTACCACATTCATACATCTGAACATTCTGAGATACAGTTTAAATAAATATTAATATTACCTTTGAACACATAATTTGAATGTACTAACCGAATGGGTAATGCATTGTACACACATTACGTCGAGGTCAGCCGCACCGGAAGCCGTTATCTGAACATCTGTCTCGCGCGACAATCATTTGAATATTATACAGACAATTTTACGTAAAATTATACTGGTAATGTCGTAACGTTAATAAAGTATATTTACAATATACGAGTAATACGCACAATATAATTAAACATTGTAAAAATAATATATGTGTCAAAGTACAAAGTAATGTTCCACGTTTGTAGGATTTATATTGGTGTGCGTGGTGTGCGGCGCGCTGTTCCGGCCCATCAAGCCCGTGCGCGTCACGCTCGCCGACCAGAAGGAGGAGGAGGACACTGCGCGCCGCCACGAGGAGGCCGTCGAGAAACTCAACTCCATGATCAAGCTCCACAGCAAACTGGACTCCGCTATCGCCATGCCTTCGGAGATGAGGTTCACCAACAGAGTCAGCCCTCACACTTGGATGGGCGTCGCCAACAACACTCGTTATCCTACCGCCGAAGAAATCTTCAAAGGCAGCACCTCTCACCTCGGGAGACGATCGTCCGCTACCGCGGGAACCATGAAGAATCTAAACAAACCCATCTTCATCACGAGCACGGTGGCAGAAAAAGACGAACAGGAAGATTCTAATAGCAACATCGATAACGCCGAACCCTTGATCGCCTCTCCCATCAAAGTGGTCTCGAGAGACGCGAGACCGAGGCGCTCCCATGCCGACCTGGTGGCTAGACCGTTGTACCGTGATGATATATTCTTCGGAGCGAGTCTCGCGCGACTACCGCAGTATACCTCCCGGACCTCGCTGGGCTACCACTTGGCCGTCACTCATCTGCCCACACAGGAGGACGTACAAGAAGACGAATCCGGAAAGTGCAGTCTTTGCCCCGAGGCGGTCAGGAGAGCGTTAGCGACCATGTTGGACGTCAGCCTGTTCAAGTCACCGACATTTATAATCCTAGCGATAAGTGGCTTCTTCACTATGCTCGGGTTTTTCGTGCCGTACATGTATGTGAAGAAGCGCGCGGAAGAGAACGGCTTGAGCGAGAACACGGGCGTGATGCTGTTGTCTGTGATCGGTATCGCTAACATCGTGGGTCGTATCGCGTGCGGGCTGGTGTCCTCTATGCCGCGCATCTCCCCGCTGTGGCTCAACAACATCGCGCTGTCGGTGGGCGGCATCGCCACCATGCTCAGCGGCCTCTGGTTCGACAGCACCTACCAGTTCACCTACTGCGTTGTTTATGGACTTGCCGTTGGTAAGTACAAAATTAGTAATTAGCCTTCGCATTTATAATGTTAGTAAAAAGTAAGGTTAGTAAGATAACATTAAGAAATCTAGTAAGAAAAATCACAGTAAACACAAATTTAAAGCTCTTAACTCTTTATACCTCTTTATTAGAAATTGCCAATGAAAAGTTTGTAGTTATTGGCTCGTGACTCGTAACTGTTGTTCAATAAAGATTTTTCATTTTCCAGCTTGCTTTTCTTCTCTTCGTTCCATTCTGGTTGTCGAGTACATCGGCTTGGAGCAGCTGACGAATTGCTTCGGTCTGTTCCTTCTCTTCCAAGGAATAGGAGCTCTCCTCAGTGCTCCTATTGGTGGTAAGTTGGAGATCAGAATAATTTTAAATATCTTAGTTAGTAAATGAAATACAATACCGCGGCTTAACCGCTTTAATCCGCTTTGAACTGGTATTGTGATAATGTAACGCTTTTAAAAGTCTTGCATAACAGTTGGCGCCGGGCTATTTATGGGTCGGCAGCGAGCCAAAGCTTCTACGCGGACTCCCGCAAGTCATTCATTATTTACACCCCTTTTTTACTAAGCATCCACTAGGAAAAGAGTCTTAACCGCTTCGCCTCGTGTTCGAATATCACGACGAAAAGTCCGAGCTAGAAATAGTTTCAGATACATTAATTTTTTTTGTAGTGTACTCTATGGATTTGTATTTCAACAGGTATCCTTAGAGATATGACGGACGGGTTCGAGGCGTCATTCTACGCATCGGGCGCGTTCTTTCTGGTCTCTGCTTTGATTTGCTACCCTGTGGACTACATCAGCCGATGGGAGAAGTCACGTAACAAGCTCACAACCACACCAAAAGTCTGATTTTATAATAATAATTCATGAGACTTAAATATCGTTCAGTAAGCAGTCACTTGACTCTGTGGGTAATTTATCTGTACAGAAATTGACAGAAAATATATTATGATATATTAAAATTTTACAAAGAGGTTAAAAAATGTGTTTAGGATCAGGGTATATAACTATTTTGTAGAATCCAATTAATGCACGATTTATTTCAATGTTTTCTTTATTTTAAAGATACGAGAAATTCACTGCCGAATGATATTTTTCAATTGAAACTGTTTACTGTTAATAGATAAGCCATCGTACTTATAGATCTGAGGAATTACTTCCTTACTTTTTACATTATGTAATGTACTTAAAGTGTAAACATTAATTTTCGTTATTTATTTCGGTGTTTTTGATGACCACTTTATGTACATTTTTAACTTTTATTGAGAAATTAAATATTTACTATGGTATTTAATTTAATTTTTACAAATATGCTTATGGCAATCATTTTTAAAAGTTTACTAATATCAAATATCCTAGATAAATTGGTCAGGTGCTAATACTATAAATTTTGAGTAAGTTCAAATTGTAGAAATGTATTTCAATCAATTTTTACATTTATAAATGAATATTGATAATCTATGCATAATATCAAAATTGTGGAAACTTTCCTCCCTTGTCAATTTTTAACCATAGTTGCAAAATCGTTGGTTATCTTTTGATAACTGCGAAGATAATAAATGCATTTAAAAATAGATTTAGTGGTTGAAAGTACAAAGACTCGAAATATTAATTTATCTATAATTTGACGAAATTGTTGCCGAGAATGATTTGATGCCAAATTATAATTAGTGTACACGTATATTATACTGTAACCGTTTCCTAAGTATGTACGTTTTTTCTCGTTTTGACATAAATTTAAAATAGGTCCGTTAATGTCTTCCCATATTAATCTAGACAGCTGTTTTGAAGTAATTGAAACATGAATTCTGTAATTTAAATGAAAATTTCCGACTTTTGTTACGATTTTATTAAAAAAATTCAAATACTTTTCGGATTTGTATAAAAAGTGGGACCAAATGCCAACTATGCTGTGTCAAGGAAAAACGAACCACATAAATCGAATCAAAATTCTGAGCTTAATCGATATAAATACGTAATAATACCGATCGAATTAAGAGCGTCCTCCTTTTTGAAATAGGTTATATTTTCGAATCGTACATGCCTATATCCGGAACCTGGATTTCGTACTGGGCGGTGTCGTTATTGAAACACAATGCAATTTCCGCCCGCGCTGTTGCGATACGCCTTCCGCCATTTTGTGCCTTTGTGGTGCTATACATTTGGGGACGAATTTTTATTGTAGTTATATTTTGGTATATGTAATGCATATAAGACTATTTTAAGGTATTGCATATCGTTGCATGAGTGATTTAAATATTGTTAGATTAGGTTATTGTTGTAAATGTTCGTGCCTTATTGTGTAGTAATGCGTATTTTGAGGTGACAAATGAATGTTTTTCATACCTAAGTACCAGTATGTATCAGAATCTAAGACAGATATTTCATTAGTCGTTAAGTCTGTTCTGTTATTATATAACGGGTTAAGTACTAATCAAGTTCAGTTATTATAAAGCAACCATCCCAATTAGTTGACGAGTATAATGCACGGTATGGTAAAAAAGCACTCGCCCAATACAAGCAGACTCTAACGACTAATGAAACTGCGCCTTAAGATAAGAATGTTCATTGTATGATATACAATTGTCATTTTCAAATACACTTACCTTGTCCTAAATATTTCATAACTCATAGATTTAAGAAGTACATCTGTGGCTGTGGTAATTACTAGCTTATTATAATCAGGAATAAGAAATCATAGTCATTTATTTATGCCATAATAAATTATTTCAGTTTAACGGCCATTAAATTGATTAAAATCTAAATAAATTAAAATTAATGGTTTAATGCAACACAAAATATTTTTCGGAATGTATCACCTGAAAATATACACAAATGTTAACCTGTCACGTTATTTTCTCACTATTACAACTTACATATTTCTATATCAACTTAATACCTTCAACTTGTCACCACTAAACAGGGTATTCCTAACGTCCTTAAGATTTATTTTGAAACGGGTCACAATATTTACTAAAATCGATTCTAAGTAGAATAATAACTGCAATGTGAAATGTTTATACGTATTTTACGTAATCTTTTATGATTATTTAAAAAAAAACCGTCTGTCTTATATTTGCAATTTTGTTGGTAGAATCGTTGATATAGATCTATTGAACTATATTATTGTTAATTTATTTTGACTATGATTTTTCTGTATGAAGTTGTGACGCCACAGTGCCATATGGTGAGAACGGTTTGCAATGCTCTTGCAATGTTTTTTATAGCTCCTAATAGGTAGCGAGACGAGAAATAAAATTTTTAATTTCTCATATAAATTTATAAATAAATATAACACTTGTTGTTTACTTTGATTTTTATTTTACCCTTCCTTTCTCTAATCTTTTTTTATCTCTAAAAATAAGGTTATGTAATGCTTTGGGTTTTCTAATGAAACAACATATTGGCGCAAAAGATGTTATATTTGCATTTCATTTACAAAGAATAAATCTAAGAGTTGGAGTTGGGTCCACGGCGACGACCGAACGTTTGTACAACATTCACGAATCTGAAACAAATTTAACAGTGTTAGGTAAAAAATTGGTAAAATAACGGGTAAGTATTCGTAGTTTCATCAATAAATTTTGTATGAGATTTGTTGGTGTACATGTGTGTGATCTGTTAGCCCAGTAGGGGCGCTGCACAAGACTAATTCTGTCAATGACAAACACTTTGTAGGAAAAACTATACTATTGGTAGGTGGCATTATGATGAGCTGTGGGGAAATAAGGAAAAATTAATGATTTATGTCTTACAAAAATGTACACTAAAATAACTGATTCAAGTATTACTTATATGCAAATAACATCAAAATGTCCTAAAAACATTGGTAAAGTCTTTAGTACTATAAGGATTTCTAATATTGACAATAACAGTTGGCATGTAACATTTACAAAAACTCTAAGGCATCATCAGAACATCCTACAAATTTTTAATATGTATAAATGTTACAAAAATTTATTTTAATTATTGATGTGAAAAGATGAGCTACATGTTTTACAAAAACAAAACATTGCTAGTAACATAGCCCAGAGTTACTATGACCACATATCGTATGAGAAGTATTCAGCGGTACACACTTGACCAGTACAGTTGGAGTCATGCTGGCTTGATATCTATTGTCCGGACTAACTAGTACCAAGCAGTGCCTATTGAACGCCAGTCCAGTTATTACTGGCCAAATGTGTTCAACCCATTACTGTTTGCAAATGGCAATTTGATTATCTTTAACAATACAATGCTGAAGAACTGGTAACGGGTGAAATATGTATAAAATTATATTCACCGTCTGTTGTATTGGATCCTACGCTTGGCACGGCCAGTCTTCTTCTTTTTCTTCTGTTGTTTCTCCACTTTGGGTGTCTGGCCCTTTACCTTACCTGAAAATTAAAAAGAATAAAAATATTAAAATAGTCCACAAATTCTTAACAGATAATTATGCCATATGCAGAGTGTGGCATATTGAATAATATCTATGTCGGTAGATGTAAATAAACAGTTGTCATTACGCACTTGCACAATGAAGTTTCATTTATCTAATTCCCAAATACTACACAGAGGGTAGTAATCTAAATCGTTTTTAAATTAGTATCCTAATTTAAATGTTAAACATAAAACTAAGAAATATAACACAGATATAAAAACAAAAAAACATGTGCCAAAAACATTCACCCTCCTATTTCAACTCATTGGACAAAGAGTATTGAGAGTGTAAAAATGCTGCAGGACTATTTTTTGTAACGTGATTTGATTTGACAAGCAAAAATAGGACAAAGATTTACTTATGTTACTTTTAAATAAAATACTGTAAAATTTACATTTCATTGGCAAACAAAGTATTTGAAATATTTTCTTACCAGCACGAGCCAAGGATCCGTGAACTTTACCACCAAGCAGTGGGATTGTAAGGTCCAACTCTGCTGATGATAGGTCCGACACAAGGGTAGCATCATCAAGTGGGGCACCGCATAGAGACAAAGTTAAATCTTCATCTCCAACTGCAGCAAGGTTGCGGATTCGCTCCTGAAAATTGATTATAACAATAATTTTTTAAAACGTTTGTTTTGATTATGCACATTTAATATAAAAAGCAAATTCTAACAATACAAAGAATACATAGTAGCATACTTTAATTAAGAGCTATCCTTCGATTTATCTTTAACAAGTGAGTATAATACAATCAAGTGGTAGTAAGATTGTTAAATAGTTTGATAACAAATGAATAATAATAAACTAAATTGATTAAACATTGATAACACTTTTTGTAAGAAACTTAATAAAAAGGAATTTGTTAAAATTGACGAATATTGTTAAAAAGATAGGTTAGCTAATAGTTCATGTCAATTATAAAATTAGTACCGAATATTTTGAAATGAATTACCTTGATTTGTGCAATTGTTTCTTGTCCATGAACGTCCAAGACGTGCGTAGATTGTCCTCTGATGTGTAACTGCATCTTGAAAATCCTGCAAAAACATGTTCATTGACGGCGTGGTCGAAACTAAATACGTCGGAAATATTCGACACAAAACTAAATAGATAATCACCAAACAAGCACTTAAAACTGACCAAAGTAAATAAATATCGGATTAAATCATTTCAGAACATTATTTTAGGCAAAATAATGAACTATATTTAGTTTACTAACCTGCCTGCGCAGTCTGACAAGAGAAAGAAACAATAATGGCAGAACGGAAACGGATATTGTTTGACGTTCGCATTTACACAGAATTTCATGTCATAAAGAAAATTTATTATTTAATTAAAATTAAAATTAACAATTGAAATATGTGCAATTGTAACCAAAATCATTACCTGTCTGAATAAAATGTTCAAAGAAGTTTTGATGTAAAAAATAAAAACATTGTAAACATGAAGTAATGTTTATTTTGTAATGTTGAATAAAGTTAGTCGATGAATACAATTTTTTAGCTTTTGTTTTCAACATATCACTCCGCTTAAAACCATTCTCAAATGAAGTAAAAGTTTAAAAACATGTCATTAAACATTAACAAGATCAATAGAGATAGGGTGAACAGTTTATCAATTTGGCATAATGTACAGTATAGATGTACATGATACTTTTGGCACACGACAATGAGGAGTAACATTTAATGTCAGGGTAATAGTGACATAGCTTGTCAGTTCACTTCGCGTCATTACTTTACGCATTTTTTGTGGCTTTTTAATGTTATTCCATGAAATAAAGTGTTGAAAGCGTTTAAAAGTAGTGCAAGACAGTTTTTTTTAAGTGGGTGTATTTTTATCGCTGAGAAGAAGTAGGTAAAGTAGTAGTCCAGTAATTACATTTGAAAATGTGAATCATCTTGTGTCTGTTGCGATCAGAATTTGTTACCATTTGTTAATGAAGAAATTCCCTAACTCTCAATGCGACGCATATTTTTAGATTTGTAATTTAAAAAAAGAATTTCCTTTTAATGCGGACATATTACCTTACTGGTAACCCTAAATGCTCAGAGGCGCCATCCTGTCAATCTCAAAAATCCTTGTGGAACTATAAAATAAAAAGCTAACAATTATGTTGGCAGGTTGGCAGCCTTGCTATTCCACCCAATGCTTTTTGATTGGACAGTTACGAAATGACAGCACAACTGATGAATGGTCACACATTTTAGAAATAATCGTGTGACCTTATGTCATTTCGTATAAAATAAAGTAAAATGATCAAATAATATTAAATGGAATCTTGTCAGCTTCGAATATGCTATCGCGACTAATTCGTCAGTTTTTGTTTATTCTTGTGCATTTTGTTGTTAACGTACTTGTTGCAATTCAAAATGTTTATCACCGGTCATGGGTTAGAAGAGAAGTTCTTGATGATGAGGTGACGAAAAACGATGTTATTATGATAATGGAGCACGTACCAAAGATGAAGAAAAATCTAAAACATTTAGTGGTACTTGTTGACACAAACCATCATTCCATGAGTGAGTTGGCGCGGGTGGTGATTTGGAGTCTAATCATAGGAATACCTTACGTCAGTTTTCACGATATCACCGGTAAACAAATCATTATTTATGTCTAAGTTTAATTTCCTATCAATAAAAAATTGCGCAATTTTTCGTCATTCACACTTTAAATATATTTATAAATTTAATAAATTTTTTTCTAGGTAAATTGAAACAAAACGAAGAAAAACTGTTTCTGGCTATCGAGAAAAAGAAAAAAGGTATACCAGGATGCATAAAATGGTCGAACAAACCTGACTTAAATGGCTACACTTATGGGATGAATGCAAACAATATATTTATTAATATATTTAGTTATAAGGATGGAAGGCCACAAATTGTTGAATGTATAAGACAAATAGCTAATGGGTGTATTGATTGTGAAAAGAAAGCAAATGAGTTTACTAGTGAAGAGTTTGGGAAGGCATTAACTAAATTATACAATAGTGTACCTGAGCCAGACCTTGTTTTATATACTGGACCTTATTGTACCACTTATGGTCTGTTGCCGTGGCAAATAAGACTTACAGAGTTCATTCAACTCTCTCTAGACCATAGTGTAGATATATATAGTTATATAGGTGCATTATATAAATATAATAAATGTGATCAAAGATTTGGTAAGTAGTTAAACCCATATATAAGCCAGGCCTAAATGTAAGATGTAATATTTAAAAACAAAATGGATTTGTCATAGTATTTTGCTATTGCTTGTTAATTTAAAACCATTAAGGGTTTCTTTGTATATCAGAAAAGTTTAAAAATGTACATATTTGTGTTATTCTAAATTATTGAGTGTTCTCACCTATGAACTTTGGTATTGTATATTAGTTACTTTAGTAACTAATAATTAATTCAGGTATCATGTTTTAGTTGACTTTCAAAACAACTGTTTTCAATTTTATTATAATGCTTTCATTGATATAAAAAATAAGTGTGTAGTTTTTAATTTTGATAAACATTGTGGTATTCATACAAAAAAAGAAAGATATTTAAAATAATTGTGATACAACTCTGAAGCAATAACATGTTTACACTTGACTTCTAAGCAACTAAATTGTAATTCTGTAAAGCAATAACTATACAGTAAAGGATTAAAATTATCACAGAATGTCATCTACCATATTAATTTATTTATATAATTGAATAAAAATGATTTTAATAAAAAGCAATGATAATAAAAATATTGTTTACTTTTTTATATCCTATTCTATAATTAGTAAATACCGAAACATATTGGAACTAGATGTAGAATACAGATATATTCATTATTCTAAAGGTATTCAAGAAGTCGGGATTAATTAAACATAAGAATTGCTGGTGCATTGAAGGGATGCATTCAAGTGATACTGGCATTATTTAGTACTGATACCACTGTAACTTTTATTTTCACTAACTCCAAATAAAGTTTTACTTTAAATGGTACTATTACAATGTAATTGAAATTAAATTAAATTAAACTAGATGTTGCTCGCGACTTCGGGCTCATGAAAATAATCAAACATAGTCTATGGTAACATAGCTTTTTAGTGGTAAAGAAAATAAAACAATGGAAATAGGATGGACAAAAAGTTGTATGTCTTCAATAGATAATGATTAGTGGAGAATGGTGTTTCGTCATAATTCTACGTACACGTTGGCCTGATAAGATAAGTTGTATCGAACTCACCATACAATCATATCAGTCATGATGCATTTAAATTATTTTAGTTTGTAAATCAACACAGGAGAGGAAACACATAAGGATATTTTCCCCATCTCGGTCCAGTCTCCTGCCAAATTCTCTTTTCCCAACCCCTATATGAAAAGGCAAAGGAACTAAATTCAAGCCTTGTACAGTATGTTCGAATCTCCAATGAAGACAACGGTTGGTAATTTAGTTCTGTTTGGAAGAATTAAAAAAAAACAATCATGTGGGATCATTAGTTTTATTGGAATAATGTGACGACGCGAAGTCGCGATAATTCTTTTTATTATTATACACAAATACTAAAATATATTTACATTTTGCGACGCTGCGTTACGAGTGTTTCTCCAACCTGTAACAGAAAAAGTATATAAAAATAATAATACAGTGATTTCTTGTTGAAAGATGCCAGAAATATAGTTTAGTCTCCATTCCTGTTTTCAGGGGATAACAATGAATCTATTTTTTTTGTTCTTAAAAAAAACATTTTAAATCACCGTTATTATTTACTAGGAATCGAACATAGTGGCTAGAGTATATTTAAATCTGTACAGGACTTTCTTCCAACACATAAACAATAAAATTTCTTGTGTACATTAGTAAAAATTTACATTTGAGATTAACATAAATATATTGGGCGCTAAATATACTTAGCTACGAGGTCGCCACTTGATTCATATGATTTTCCTTGAAATTAATTTGGCTTTAGCGTAAAAATTATTATTACTTAAAACATTTATATTCAAATAGTAACTTGATACTGATTGTGTAAGTTTTGAAAGCAGAATTTCCTTAAGAAATAATAGTACATAAAAGAAACATTTTAACAACTTCTTTGTATAATCTAAAAATTAACAATTATAAAACATTGCACAAATCATCTGAATAGGAAAAAACCTTGGACATAAAAAATAAAAGTGTAATAACCTAGATTCACGATAATAATTTGAAAATCAGTGGCTGATCTTATCATTTGTACAATCATAAATAACTCTGATTTTTTCGCATATTATCAAATTAAAGATCAGTGCAGATTTAAATAAAACAAGTATCTTTTCATGGTGTCTTGTACATTTAAAGATAAGTTTTAAATCTCAAGAATTTTTATTTAAATAAGTGTTCCATTATGATAACTAATTTCATAGGTTTTCAGCCATACGACTAAGATTATTAATATTCTTAGCTAGGTTATATTGTATTTAATTACGTCCGAACATTAAGGATCAAAATAAATTTGGGTTTTAAATATACTTCTGGCATCTTTTTGATTCGAGTGACCCAGTAATTTAATTCTTAAAATGCTGGGGCTTTATTAATGCCGCTTATAAGTCATGAGTTATATCTCACAATGACAAACGGTATAATTTAAACATATGTAGAAATTAATAGTGCAAGGCCAGTCTCATTACTCGAGCCGTTCATAGTAGTGTTGCCTTTTCTATTTAATACAGGATCACTCACATACAAAAGTTAAATAAAAATACAACCTGTCATGCCGTTACCCTGTCGTTCATCGGCGGTGTCTGGAGCGGCTTCTGCTTCTCGACCGCCTACGCTCATACCTATCGTGCTTCTCGTAGTCCCGACCAGACCTGTCGTAGTCACGACCAGACCTGTCGTGGTCACGACCAGACCTGTCGTGGTCGCGACCAGACCTGTCGTAGTCGCGCCCCGATCTTTCGTATGACCTGTCCCTGTCGTGCGACCTTTTGTCCCGCCGTCGCGATCTCTCCTCCGATCGATCCCTGGACGCCTTCTTCCTACCCGATCTTGATTCGTAGCTCGTCGATCGTCTCGATCGCTTCCTCGGTCTGTCATGTCTGTCATCTTCCGAGTCTGCTCTGTATTTGTCTTTGTGTTTGTCGCTTCTTGACGATTTATGTTTATCAGATTGGTCTTTTGTCTTCGACCGCGACTTGTACTTATCATAATCGTTGTGATTTGACTTTGAGCTCTTTTCGTCCGTTCTGTGTGTCCTTTTTGACGTTTCCTTGTTCGATTTCTTTATAGATTCAACTTCGTTAGAGCTCGCCCGTTTACTTTTCCTAGTTCTGACGGATTTAATGTCTACTTCGCTGCGTGAAGAGGAGCTACTAGTACTAGAGGACGAGTCGTCCGAATCACTGGAAGAACTAGAGCTGCTTGTGCTCGATACTTTCGCACGAGGACTCGGAGTGGCCTCCCATTTGTTGATCTTTTTGATTTTCTCCTCCTGTATCGTACTCAACCTCCTGATACCGTCAACTTTGTCGATGGATTTATTGTTGTTTCTTTTGTCTTTTGACATGCGACGTTCCGGTCTTTTCTCTGGTGTGTCCGTCTCTATAGGTGGGGGTGTCGCTGAAGATCCTAAAATTGAATAATAATTTACAACAGTGCTTATAAATTACAATTTTAAACAACGCACAATAACAAAAGTTGTGGCATTTCATTTGTGTTTAGTTTTTTTCATACATACTCAGATATACTAAAATGGCTGGTTGTGAGATGATTAATTCGACTTAATATGTACGGAACGATTTTTAGCGTTGTCATTCTATGTCATGGAGAAACGAGAACGGTAGTTATGAGTGTGGAATTACATCTGTAAAGGTAGACCTAGAAAGGGATGGAACGATTCCGTAAAAGGTGACATGATCAAAAAGGGAGTGATGACTTGTGATACGAGTTATCTGAAAGAAAAACCTGTTTTGCCGACCATATGGAAGTTGGATAAGGAGGAAGATGATGTCATTCTATGTCTTTCTCTGAGTGTCATTCAGTCAGTAATGTTAGACCCTTACTCGATGTGGCGGGTCTGTCGGGTGTAGTGACGGGCGTGTTGACCTCCTCCGCAGCCTCCCGCAGCTCTGCGCGCCTCACCTCAGCCTCGATCTCGCGCGCTGTCCGCTCGAACTCTTGCTTTTTCCTTCTTATCGTCTCCTACGTCGCAACTTACTTGTCAATACTAAGATATTATCAATCCACAAAAATTCTGCATAGGTTTTACAAAGTAAGAAAAGAAAGTGTGAACAGATTATATAAAGAGTATATAACGGAGTGAATTCAGATATGACAGCTAATGGAAATATTTGGAAGAGGCACATAGACCGCACTCTTCGTAGTATATTATTCAGATTACAACTTTTTAATGTATTTGAAATTTCGTCTTGATTATATATATATAAAATTGTGTTATAATATATATATAAATTTGTGTTATGACTAAATAATTGCAGAACCTTGATGCAGAATATCTAAAAACAGCAATGCATAAAAACAAGGTTAATGATCTTAAAACTAAAAATAAACAGCAAAATTTGAGCTGTTACGGTCCCTGAGATAAAAATTTTATAAAACATAAATCAAGGTAAAATTACAATAGTTATGCTAAGCAGCGGAAGCCTACGATTACGTGACATTGGGACGCACTCCCGTTTCAGAGAGTTTAATATGGGCAGTCATTTATCTATTTTTGACCAAATGTATGCCTCTACACTCCCTTTGGTTGTGTTGAGGTTATAGATTATCTACACTCTTTAAACCTATCCCCAAACACAAGTATTTTTGTTAAATACGAATTAAAAAAAAATGTGATGACTAATTTATGCATTATATATCATCAGTTACTTAGTTAATAAATACCCGTGATATCTTATAACTGGATGGTAGCTATTGTCGGCAATTTACTTAGGTATTTTTCAGTCGAGTAATTTTGATTAAAGGGCATATTTACATGTCTGTATTATTGTGACCATTTGTATCCTTATTGCTGTCTAATTTTGACGATAGAGGTGTCATTATGCATTCATATTTCCACTGTTTATTAATTTAAAAAAATCCAAACACTTCTTTTTGGTGCACACTAATTTTCACGTACAAATGGACCCCTACATTTTGCATACAAATTTGGATGTTCATTTTATGTTTTTTTTTTTTTTTAATTTATTATTACTTTTTATTGTATTTAAATTTTTACCTGCAACTGTTGGTCGGATACATCGTTGTGATCTTCTTCGTCAGCACTTTCCCCGCTACTGGAGTCGTACGCGCCCAGCCCTGTACGGACGCCGCGATTACATTTAGTGCTAGGCAGTATTTATAAACATTTTCTATAGAAACGGAGAAAAAATACCCTCAAAATAACTGATTGACTGAAAGGCTCAAAAATACCTTATTTATCATACATGTCGACACACATTTTTGTATACCGTGTTTACTTTTATACTAAAAATGTTAATAATTAGTTATTCCTCGCGTCTTTGTCCGCGTGGAGTTAAAAAAAATAACCTACAATGTTTCGACTCCTTCCGCGGGAATTAAGAACAAACAAAAGTAAGTAGCTTACGTGTTCTTCAAGACTATAAGGCTACAAACTCTAACATCCATCCATCCATCTAAACTTTCGCATTTATAACATTAGAAGCAACTTTAGAAATATATTACTAAGTGATAACATATGGTGGCTAATTAATGGTAAAATAATGTTTGAGTTAAATAAATACATACAAAAATATAAGTATTTCTTCATTATAACACTAAAATAAATATACTTTTTTAATATATTGCCAATTTAGTAGAATTTTATTAACAAAAATAAATTATCATTGCGTTATAGAAACAAGATCGATTTTTCTTTACATGTGTATTTTTGACGCAACCGTATTGCCTTCCGCGTTAATAAAATAATAAAAATTACAACACGAAAATTAAAATTTATAAGATAATAAATTCTGTTTTTCTCTTACCAATTCATTTTTCCACTAAACATTATTCGAAACACAACTTGTTTTATTTAAAGCACATTGTCAATAGAAACACATTCTATAAGAAACATCATACTAGACTCGGCAGCTGAAAACAAAGGTTTACGAAACGTATATGGTGGTTTCAGGGATCAAGGAAAAGTCCATTTAATACTTATTTAAAACACATTATTGGTTGTCAGGGCAGTGTTCTTTTTACATTTTAACCACCATATACAAGCGGAACTATCTGGGAAACTGATGCCTAATGTTATGGTAGTGAGGGTAGTTCGCAAGGTAATCGTGTCGGGTATGAAGGTAGTTTGTAAGGAATTCATGGATATTTTTGCCGGAAGTGAGGGTAGTTCACAAGACAGTTGTGGGTAAGAATTAAGGATAGTGTGAGCTGTAGATGTTTGCCGGAAATGAGGGTAGTTCGCAATATAGTTGTAAGTAAGGAGTGAATATAGTTTGCGAGGTAGTTATTGGCCATTGACGGTAGTTCACAATATGGTTGTAAGAAGGGAGTGAGGATAGTGTGCGAGGTAGTTGGCAGGAAATGAGGGTAGTTCACAATATAGTTGTGGGACAGTTGTTTGGTTAAGCCGAGGGTAGTTTGCGCAGTGGGGTGTGGAGGGGCGGTTGGCGGGCAGCGGGCGGTGTGCAGACTTACCGAGGCCGCTGGCGATGGCGGCGAGCGCCTTGGACTTGCTCGCTTTCATGGCGTTGAGACGCGAAGCTTTTACCATATAAATAAAACCAACATTAATAACACACAAATGTATTCTGAAACGGGCGACATCTGAAATAAGACTTTATTAGCGGATGTATCACAGTTTTACACATCACAGGTTCTTCTTTCATATTTAATTCACATTTATAGTCAGTGCACGGTTATTTCTCGCCGTTTAGAGTAAAGTCTTGAGAGAGACGGTCGGGCCGGTGGATATGAGCCTATATGAGTTGAAATACCTTGTGCGGCGTTATATCTGGCCAACTCTTCCTGGCTCACCGTATCTATCTCCTGGTCCGTTACCTCGAGCAGGATTTCTGTTAGCGTTCGACGGACCGCGAACATCTGCTCGGGGAGACAGTTTCATTTTAATACGTCGAAATTCGCATTCGCAAGCATTTCATTGGAAAGTGTTCTTTCAAGGTTAAAAATGAGAAAATAGTTTTGAATCTGTCGCGACGACACATTTTTAGTAATACTAATTTTAGTATGCTTTTTGGATGACAAAAAAGTTTATATTGTATATTTATAAACTTTTATACTTATTTTAACTATTTTATATTTATAAACTTTTTTGTCATCCAAAAAGCAATGGAGATGACAAATTAATGGTTTACGTTACGTTTTTTTGCGCATAGCGAAATCACGAAATTAATTTTACTACGGGTTATTGACACTAAAGTTTAAAAATTTCTCTAAGCAATAGTGACCTGAACAAAGAATCACAACACTTGAAGATGACATGGAAGAAAATCAAGGTTTGTTCGATATTATGACCTCTAAAAGAAGTCTAACAAATCATTTAGTTGACAAAACAATTATAAAGTCCTTTGTATACTTACAACTTCCTGCATAATTTCCTCCTTACTCTTTTTTACTAAAACAGGTTTCACCTCGTCCTCGTCCGGCGTCTCCCGCGCGCGCTCCGACCTCATCTTCTCTTCTTTCTTCTGATCTTCTTTCACCTGCTCTTCACTGTCAGAGTCGGAATCCTGGTAAAATCAATCATTATTACTTTCATATACTGATATTATAAAGAAGAAAGATTTGTGTTTTTGGAATTTTGTATTTATTCGATTCATGGAAGAACTACTGGGCCGATTTCAAAATATTTTCTCCATTAGAAAGGTAATTTATCTGTAAGTAACATAGACAATATTTTATAGTTTTTTTTTTTAATTTCAAATAGGCGAAGTTGCGAGCAACAACTAGTCTTATATAAATCTCTGCTACCTTAAGTAACTAAAGAAGTAAAGCCAAATTAAATCTAATACAAAACACCCTCATGCCCACTATGTAGTTTTTTCGATTTTAATACTAAAGCGATAATATTTCAATGTAAGGTAACTTCTTTAAAATTAACCTCATTTGATTCAACAATTCTATTTGTCAGTGTATGTATTGTTTAAAACATTCAATACATACAAATTTGCTCTTAGCAGGTAACATTGGTTGTCCGCTTGCTTCCGCCTTCATCCGCGCAAGTTCTTCTTCTTCCAATCTCTTCTTCTCCTTCTCTGCTTCTTCTCGTACCTTCTCTTCCTGTTCTCTTTCTATTGCCCTTTGCTTCTCTCTTTCCATTTTTTCTAAGCCTGGAAAGACATTAATTGTTTATTAATATCATAAAATTTAGTTGTTACATGTGGCTACAAGATAGGTATAGTTCTGACAAGGATCTTGTAAAAATGTTATGACCAAGTTGGTTATGACCAAACAATTTATACTATTATAATAAAGTGTAAACACCCACTTCTTTGTTGCCTAAAATGTCAGCAATGACAGCATATTTTCGAATAATTCTTTTTTTAATAAAAAGCCCTACCCTTACGTCACGTTTTAGGCTATATATTTTCACGGCGTTAAACTTAGGGATAAATATTTGGAAAAAAACCCCCGGAAAGGGACCCTAAGTTGTTGCCAACATCAAGGAAGCAAGGTTGCCATGGTTTGACATATGTTACTCATGACATTTTGACATTTGCAATTGATAATTCAACAAATGTGAACAATGAAATTAAATTTATATAATTTTATGTAGATGAAGTTGCATGGGAACAGCTAGTCCTTTATATCTTACTAGCTGTAGAACGCTACTCCGTTCGCGAGGTATTAAAAAATGATAAAACCAGCCTATATGTTCTTCCAGACTGTTCTGCATATGTGTCTAATTTCTGATATCTAATAAACATCCATCTGATCTTTCATATATTAGTTTTACCTTCTCTAATCCAAGCAGGAAGCTGTCGTCTTTTAGCTGCATCAATAGTACTTGTAGTGCCGGGCATCGGCATTGCTATTGGATCTACCACAGTTGGTATTAGTGGTATTTTATCCCTGTAAAATTACAAAATAAATACATTAAATCAAGTCGTTAAAGGGTTGTTGTTAAAAGGACAACACAATTCATAAAAATTTTTATAGATACAGTCAAATAAAATAAATATATTGTTTCAATACATTTGTTTTATATTAATGAAATATTAAAAGGCTTAACCCTTTACAAGTTAGATGCGATATTTTCATGACCATGTTTTATTTTATTTTAATTTTTTCAGATACTTTTTTGTACTACTATTTATGTAAAAAATAAAAACTTTACTTTTTACATAAACATGATAGCTTGATTTTCGCATTTTTTATTTGATACTGGCAATAATAAATTATTGTTTATAATTACAGTGATAGAATAGGTCGGGCGCGTGAAAAGAGCATGCAATAGAGAATATAATCTGAGCGGTAGAGGGAATATATTTCCCACCATAGAAACTACTTGTGACCGTTAAAGGGTTAAAATCTTTATATCCTATTTCACCTGAAATTGCATATTTTACTAAGATAGTTAACAATACAGGACTTACCTAGGTGGTCTGTTAATCCGAGGTATTATTGGTTTTGGTTCTCTATTTTTGCTCTTAGATCTGATCTCTCTATTCCGATTGTTAGTTGTGCTATTTGCTTGTTCTGTTTGAGGTGCTGTCCAATACCCATGCTGAAATGTTGGAGTCCCCACTGCTGCTGTTGTGTATCTATGGACAAAGGTAGTGTATTATGCTAATTTTAACACCTGTGAATTATTATGCTACACCCAGGAGAATTCTTATATAAATACCACCTTCAGAAGCTTAATGGATTAATTCGGAATGTTCTTGTTAATTTTTATATTGAATCTGGAATCTTTTATATACACAATTTTATCAGCAGTATTAAAAATTTGGTACAGATGTAGATAATAATCCGGAAGAACACATAGGCTACCCATTGTTTTTTTTATTTCCACATGGACTGAGTCGCGGACGAAAGCTAGTATATAAGTGTTTTCTTACCCTGGCATAGTTGTATTCTCAGATGAATTGCTGTATCCATCCATTATAGGTGGTATTGATATTGATGGATCTGCTGCAATTTTAGGGTCATTGCCATCCCAACCCCATCCTTAAATATTAATTTAAAATTTTTAAACATACTATTATGACATGTAATGTTATGATCTAGTAAATTTTGTATTTATTGAGCTCTATACACATTTGGATGAATTAAAAATATATATAGGGATAAAATTGTATATTTATTAATCATCTAATAAAATGTTGGTGTAAATTACATAATTAGTTACATAAAAATATAACAAAGATAATTTGAGAAGAAGAATATCTTGGATGTAAAATGCCCTATTTGTGTGTTTGTTTCAAGATGTCAGACACATTCTGTTTAGTAAATCATTTTTGTCATCCAACATACATTGTGCAGCACAAATAACTATTTTCTTTTGACAAGTTTCATCATAAACTCACAATAATATTAACAATCATTTACAAAATTTAATTTAATTGTTTAGGAGGTGCTTTTAATATCTAAATGCAAACCTTCTCCTTATTGAAATCTGTTAAAAATGAAGAAGCAATCTTCATCCTTCATTATTATAAGTATCTAATAAACAACTCATTTTTTTCGATAAATGGTTTGAGAAAGACACATATGGATTGATAACATTTCTTATAAAACATAGCAGGTTTAAATAAAGGAAAAGTCTATGTTTTTAAAAACTAAGCTGAAGGTCTTAAAACATTTTATTTGTTGAATTGAAGAGCAATTTCAAAGTGAGTAGATTTTACAGAAAATAACAAAAATGGCAACCATTACATCAATTACTACTTTTGATACTGCATTAGAAAACCAAACAGACTTAAAATTTACGATTTTATAAAAGACATATAAGAGGACAATGGTATCTCATTGCCCACTCCACTGACCTCTAACACAATATTGATAGATACAAAAGTTACAAACTACAAGTTCGAACACTTGCGCTCCTAAATTAAGATTTAATTTTATCTATCTCATTATCTAAAATTAGACGTGCTAAATATCTATTTCGACAATGACGGTTCTGAACATTTCAATAAGGAGAGAATCTGATTTCTACATACCCCATTGGTTCCAAGAATTACCCCATGAGTTTGTAGAAGCATTCCATTCAGCACCAGCTGGTGGTACACTTTCGCAGTTTGTGTCCGGATTTTCAACCTCCATTGGGGCCTCTCCGCCCTCTATATCTGGTTTAGCCGGCGGTTGAGGGACCGAAACAATTGATGCAGCTTCCTTCATAGCGATCCATTGTTGTGCTAAAGTTGCCCAGTCTACTTGACTAGAATCAATATTTTGATATGCGGTAGGATTAAGTGCCCATTGCGTGGGATATGCGGGGTTTACCACATCTTTGCCAGAAAACATTGTAGTCACAAATGTAAGTTCCGAGTATAATACTATTTTCTACTTCTTCATAACACTATTGAGTTTATTATTATTGCCACTCAATTAAAAATAACTTGTGGTTATAATTAAACTAAGAAATATGTGAAAAAATTAAGTCTTGACCATTTGCCATTTGACTTTGTTCCATAGACTAGACAATAGACAACTCAGCATAGACATATGAAGATAGATAAAGGAAAAATGATCACTTTTGTTTCTACCATTTCATAAAATGAGAAAATGAAGGAGCAAAAGGCAAAAGGCTATCTATTTTATTTATAGTTCATTTTAATGTCATATAAGGATTAAGAGATAATAAAAAATTAATCAACGCAAAATCGTATGAAAGCTATATTTTAATTTGTTAAACTTCTAATAGTACTTTTCAACACTAGATGTCGCTGTTCTGAAATAGTTGTTAATGACCGCTATCCGTTTATTTAATTAACTAACTATTGAACAAATAGTAAAACATGCATTGAGTGAGAATAAGTATCACCAGGATTTTGTTAACCTAGCAGTTCGTACGAATATTAAATGTAGGTTCGTAGTCTCTGTATGCTCTTCTGGGTTTCGGGCAGAATTATGTTGTAAGAGAAAATATTCATCTTGTCATCTAAGTAAAAATTTAATTTTTGTTTTGTTTTCAGATAATTAAAGAATGGACCATCTTGTACCAAGGTTGGCAAAAGCGTTATGAGTTCGCATTTCGGTCTAGTTTATATACTTTTTGATTTTTGATATTTCATTACTATTCAAACCCAAAGCATTCACAAAATCTTTGTTATACTGTTTACTTTCTTACAAATAACAATACCTTTTGCTACAGGTGGTTAAGCAATGCAATTTCTCACATGAAAAAACATTTTTGTTTTTATTTGTATATAAAAGTGAAGCAAGGTAGGTAGGTAAATTATACAAAGTATTCTTATAAAATTAATTTATTTATCGTATTACATTATTATACACACTTATCCATGTACCCTATCAACAAACAGTCAACGTCAGCAATCGTAGACAACCTTCCTACGTAATTTTGACAGTGAGCTTCTTTTGTCACAACATTCAATGATCAAGTGTCACCTTTTATTAATCTATCACTAGTTTCACTTAATAAGTCTTTAGGTATCATTTTAAACTAGTTTTAACTTAACGCTAATAACGGTTCTTCAATTTCGTGCTTTTGGTTAATATATTTCGAATTCGTTTTCATCCACTGATCCTTCTTGCTGACTATCTTTTGTTTTGTCGCTTCTAGTTTTGCCTTACTCTTTGAGATCTTAACTGGAATCTTCACACTATCCAGTCGTTCCAAAGTTTCGATTATATTTCTTGGTTCTGACATAACATTTCTCGTTTCTTCGCTGATTTCATCCATCGTGCCATTTTTATTGGCATATACTACGACATAATGTGAATATGCGGAATTTGATGGAGCATTAATATCTGCGAAATCTCGGAAGTTTGCAAACTGATCTTGATTGTAATTTGGCTTTGGGTTGGCGATGTATCCGACGCCGACAGACGGTCTGCCGTGGCCATTGTTGTAATAAGAACTAAAGCTGTCACCAAAATCGTGATCCTCGTCATTTTGAGCGAAGAAAGTGCCACCTCTTATAATACCAAAGTTTCCTGAACCGAGAACACTAGGACTCGCATCAATGAGTGGAGCTGAGGAAACTGCTGATTGTTTACCAAAAGTTTCAACGTTCCTGTTAAAACCTCCAAATATCGGATAGTTTAGAAGCGATCTGAAGGAATTGGGGCGTTGGCTGTACGCTGCCTCTTGACTTCCGAAGCCTCTATAATTATTTTGTTGTCGTGACTCGAAAAGATTAGCAAAAGACGGGAAGAAGTTTTGGGAATCGCCTACAACATCGATTGAATGTTCTGATTGGCTAGCTGCTTGGGTTAGGTCCTTTGACGTTTCTTGGAAATGTTGCGGGGGTAGTACTGCTTTAGATATAATTTCTGATGATTCAGCTGCGAGGTCTTCTGCATCATCTGTAAATTAATAACATTGTATTAGTATTTTATCTTAAAACCTAATTTATGTTGGATCTGTTTGGTTGGTTGGGAACGTAAGTTCGTAAGACTACGCCATGTTGACAAACGCCACGGGACATTTAATAAAACAACCAGATCATGATATGTATTGGTTTATTCAACAATTTCATTATAACATACCCTTAATAGATATTCTATTACGGCTAATTTTGAGTTAGATTTAATTTAGTAAGTCAAAGTTAAGAACATTCTTTCAATCAGTAAAAGAAAAAATGTAAAACAAACAAAAATGTTATGAATTTATTATTGGTAAGTAAAAAACAAATATGGTCATTAAATAAGTGCCTGATGTAAAGTAGTGATGTGATGAAAGATGAAATCTAAGTTTCTGTTTATTTCCCATAGTTTTTTTCTTTTTAACCTAAATTAAAAAAAATGATTAAAACGCTATTCACGGTTATTTTATTACGATATAATTTCATAACCTGTTTGTAAATGCACTAAATATTTAACCGCCAACGTCGTTAGACAAGCAAGTTTCTGTTAATAAATAATGCATCAGTTTGTATTACACTTGTAGATGCAGTTTCACGGTTCCGTAGGCATCGTTAGTAAGAAATTCAATGATAATAGTAATATTAATATGAATTTACATAATTGATCGCTTTAGGAGCATTCACATCTTGTTAAATCACATCTGTTTAAATCGCACAACTGTGTCGCTCACTACTCGTCTTTTAATTATGCAACTAAACAGTGGAATGGGCTGTAAAACACTCGACAATCGCACAACTGTCGTGCGATAGTTTAGTCAAAGTGCGCGCGCTCTAATAAATAATCTATAAAAAAAAGTATCCATAACACACGAGATCATCTATAATGAATAAGGATAACTAACATACAGATTATATTATGTATCGCCTCGGCTAGTATTATATTACAGGAAATAGTTGGCCGTACATATATTTTACACTTTCATTAAAAAAAAAACTAACCTAACTCTGGTCGTAACCTTGTAAACGTTGTTTGCAGTTAGACCGTTTTTGGATCGAGTGTTGTATAGTTTTTGATGGATTGTGTAACTTTGTCGAGGCTGGCTCAAACACTGGAAATAATTTATCACGGCTTTGACCCGCTGGCGAGTAGAAGCCGGTTTAACAAATTTACCTACCAAGGAGGCTTAATGCATTTTTGCCATTTTGTTCAAATTCCAGACATAAAAGTTAACTTTTTGCATTCATATTCCTAGATACATACGAGAGTGAAGTTTTTCTATTAAAATAATGCAATACTACAGACATGTTAGCTTCAAATTAAATTAATAAGCGATGACAGGCACATAAAAACTAGGACAATATTTGCTTTGTTTACTGAACTACACAATTTTAAATAAAAGATTTATCGAAAACAAAAATACAATTTTCTAACATTTCCCGAACTCTAAAGACAGCTCTAAAGAATAACATTACATATACTACATATAATTGTAAGTGATATATTAAATATGTAAATTACATTACGGAAATTACTAACCGAATAATGGATTGTACCTACGATTGGAGATAATGATTTAATAGTGAATATTTCTGTTGCGATGTCAAATAATGGATTGCGTTAAATGTGACATGATCAATGAGGGAGTGATGACTGAGGAAAGATGATGTATGATAGAGTTATCTCTATCATAACCATAAGCTGAGGACAAAAACCTGTTGCGCCGACCTTACAGGAGTAGTAAACAGAGGAAGATGATGTTTTCTTTTTAGCCCTTCAACTTTATCTTATCCTCTTAGCCCATATCTACTTATGCAATTAAGCCCAGAGACTATACAAGTCCAGACCCAGTTACTTAAATAACAGAAAACATTTTGTGAAAATATTTACATAAATATTAAATATCTTTCACCATCATCTTATTAATAATCTTGCGTATGAAAAATATGTAAGATAAATACGATTAACCTTACTAACCTCAGACATTCTGTCATAATCGTTCCAAAAAATTCAACGTTTTTCATCGAAAAGAAAAATAACGTAGATATGTTTCGAAACGATGTCATGTCATAGGTCAGGAGAAAGCTAAGCTCAGTAGTTAATGAAACTATATTTCTTCGATGTGTTTCCGACATAAAGCATGGCGACATAATTGCTCTGACAAAATGGTGATCTTGTAACACAGGATGAATTTTGTCACACTTTAATTATTCGTTATGTGTTAATATTGTGCTACTATTATTATTTTATTAACAAATTGGCTCGAAGTCTACTTTAAGTTAGGGGTGACTATGCCTTTGTTAATCACGCTGGCCTATTACGGATTGTTTATTTCACATACACGTTTTTGAATTATTTTGCCGATATGTGCAGGTTGCATAACGATGTTTTCCTTCACCGTGAGAACGTCGGGTAAATTGTATATATAAAATTCGATAGTCATATTGGCATATGGCGGGATTTGAATCCATGACAAGTCAAGTGCTTAAACCTCTGGCCTGTGTATGTTTGTGTCTTACGATATCGTGGGTGTCTCATCGTCCGATTCTAGTTTAATTCTTTGTTGAGATGTCAGTGTCTATTTCGATCGGTACATCTATCGATTAAAACGTTTCTTTTACTGGTTACATTTTTTATCGATTATATTTCTAACCGTTGTTGCCGGTTGAGTGTATACATATAATTGAGGACATCAGAAACATTACATTGCCTCTATAATGTTTTTATATTACTCAATGAATTGAAGGCAGAAGCCATAAAAATTAAGTCATTAATAATATTACGAAGTCTATGTTTAATTCGGTAAAACAGTGTAGGAGGTTCCGGTTGTGACAAGACAATTCTATGTGTTATAAGGGAAAGCTAATGTTTGACCAAGATTATTACAAAAATGACCCCGATCTTTAATGATCATTATACAAGTGGTAACACATTATTACCTTGTGTTATGTAATGTTTTTGTTTTCGGAATCTGGAGTTTGTCAGTCACCAATCTACTATCGGTATTCAGACAGAAAAAAAATATTTAAAACCGTTTTTTTAGGAACTGCTAATTGATCTGTGTAAAATAGATCTCTACTAATAGTTGTTTAACTATTAATATAATTTAATTAATGTAGTATTATTAACAGGAAAGATTTGTATTTCTGTATTTATTGAAATAAATCGAAAACTTCCAGCCGATTTTAAAAATTCTTTCACCGTTAGAAAGTTAATTTATCTGTGAGTAATATAGGCTTATTTTTTATATTTGACGCAGGTGAAGTCACGAGCAACAGCTAGTTAATAAATTCATTAGATACACAAAGAGAACTAACATAATTATATGTTAATTTATTCATTAGCTTCAATAAAAACAAATAAAAGTGAAAAATATGAATATACATTAATATTTCTTATGCATAATACAATGTTAAATGGTTTTATAGATGTGTATATTGTACTTAAATGTAATATTAAATCTGTTTACGGTTTTGTTACTGTTTATTTGCAACATATTCACAATTATAATGTACTTATGCAAATAAATGTAGACAATAATAATAAAAGTACGACATCTCTTTCCTGACGCATTATTTAATATAATATTTCATAGAACTTTATTACAATTCCTGGATAATTTAATAAAAATAATAACTGTAAAGCCTACAATTACGTGTTTCTTAACACTTCCCGCTGAGTTTTTTAAACAAATTAAAATTAACATAAAGTATCATTGTTTATTTTATTAATACGATTTGGATATAGGTGTATATTATATGAGAATTAAAATGCAAAAGTTTTTCGTAAACTGTTTTTATTTTGTGGTTAAAAAATATAGAATATTTTTTTTATCTGTGAATTTTCGTTATAACGAAATACAGTATTGCGGTATTAGTTGATTTGCAAAATATTTATCCTTTTCAGAAAAAGTTAAACGCTAATTTCTCACGATAACATTTTTTTGTTTTTTTTTTTACTTGTTGCACCGTGAGTAGTGTTGTTATATCAATTTATAGTGTGATTAAATAATCAATTATTCCGATGTTCCATCCTCACGGAGTTCTCGATTTCTCAACCGATGGCATCCCGCCATCACGGCAGCTGACGAAATGTGGAGCGTGACATCGATTCGTCGCCAATATTCGCCGTCTGATGCATTCTCTACACAATCCTTTCTGTCACTTAAATCGGGCATACATAAATCTCTTTGATTTACGCTTGATCGTTTGTTGTTCTTAATCTCATGATTTACTATTTTTACGTTTCCGTTAATGTGAAGCTTGAATTAGACGTTATTAATAATTAAGCAAAAATCCAAACAAAGGTAAGCGAATATCGGTTAGAAAGTCAAAGATCTATGAATAGTCCACAAACTCGCGATGGGCCAGCGAGGTTGACTATGGCTTAGTCAACATTAACTTCGGGTAAGGTCCTATCTCCTCTCTCCTAATTTGAAGGCATGTAACATCTGGTGCACGGGTTCAAGTAATTGTGATACGGACTGGGATATGATGTGATTCATTGGTTAGTTAGGAGCCTTCTTATTCAACTGTGTATTATAATTCGTGAAAATGTTTCGAAGTATTAGTTAATTTAGGTGCAAATGAATTAGAGCTAGGTTGTGTTTTTTTGACAACTTAATACTTTTTTTTCGTTTTATAATTTTCATACAAAAATCATTATAAAGTAAATGTTAATTATATCTAAGCAAAAGTTTTACACACTCTGTTTTCGCACCAACTGTTACGCGTAAAACACGATTATTCAATGTCTTAGCTATTCATAACGACACAAAGACACCCGGAACTAGTAAATTAAGATGTTAATGTTATTGTGCAACTAAAAGTAAGAGCCTATAATCGTCGTTCTGTTTAGTATATGCTATATACTAAACAGAACTTATTTTACAAATAAGCACCATAGCTGAGTAAAGGCCTTATCCATTCAGCACTCCAAAGTTGATAAAATATCTTTACGTTTTGTTTTTTTTTTTGTTTGTTTTTTACATTTGCCAATTATGT